CCTGATGACGAGCGCAGGCTTGTCGATTTTGCAGAAGGTGGTGAGCTTCGTGATGAACCTCGGCTCCGGGCCGAAGCCAGTTCACCGGAACACCAACGGACTCACTTTCCCAAGAACCCCTTCTGCAAGATTTGCAACATCGCTAAGAACACCTCAATGCGTGTTGCCCGGAGACCAGGGGGGCGGAGTGACGATCTTCTCGACGCACCCACCGCTCCCTACCAGCAGCTCGCTACTGATAGCGTGATCCTAGCGAAAGGCGATGAACACGTTGGCATCGGCAGAATAAAATCCCACCATGTCATCAGGGATGTGTTTTCCGGTGCAAGGGTCGCATACCCGGTCTCGAAGAGAGACATTCCGTCGCACGCAAGGAATCTCAGGCTCGCTCCACACTGTCTCATAAAAATGGACGAAGCTGGAGAGTTGCAGGGAGCGGCCGAGGAAGTAGGGATGATCCCCGAAACTTCGTTGCCGAATCGCTGGCCACACAACCGAGCTCGAGCGAGATGTCCGAGAAGAGAAGGAGTGTTGCAGGACACACTCACTCCTATCCCTTTGCATGCCTCTCGATGTCTTTCGACCGACCGTCCACGTTCGATCCGACAAAGACGCAATGGGAAGCACTCACCAAGGAGAAGTTCGATGGCGTCCGATGTTGTTTCGGACAGCTCGTTTGGTATCGCCTGAAGTCAGCTGGAAAGAGAACCTTAGAACCTAACATGGCCCCAGGCTTGTTCATGGGCTGGCGTATCGATCCAGGGATGCGATATCGTAGGGTACTAAAAGTTATGGACTACCAAAGTTTCAGGACCAATGGAAATGTTACTGTCCATGATGTGCCCGAACCTGAGTTGTTCGTCGAGGAAGGCGATCCTGTTTTCCCGATCGCGGCCGCTGCCGATCGAGCCCTGCGAGCCGGCGATGGCGAGGTTCCTGAGTATGCCATCAGAGATGTTCCTTTTATTCCTGAAGGCACCCCAGCCCCGTCAACTCCGTCAGGCTTTAAGTCAAGAAGTGTGTGTATCACCATTGAACGGATTATAAAGTTCAAGGAGACTCCTGGATGCAAGGCTTGCACCGGCCATGCTAGTTCTAGGCATCACACTGACGAATGCCGCAAAAGGTTTGCAGAGCTAGTTGAAAGTGAAAAACAAGAAACAAAGGCCAAAAAGGCCGCAAGTGAGGAGGCCACCAAGCCAAGTAAGGGTGAAGATGAGGCAGCTGCTATACGCGCTGCAAAGGCGTCCTCCCTAGAAACCCCAGAAGCCCCAGAGATCGGGGCACCTGAGGAGGGAGACCCCGATATCGTCCGTGCCTTGCTTGGAGAGCCCGCCTCTTCTCGGCCCAGTGTTCCGCATACCGACGCTGTCCCCGCATCAACCAAGAAGGATGAATGGGTTTATAAGCCTAGTGGTAACGTGTTAATCCGCGTGCATCATCAGCCTAGGATTAAACTTTTCACTCCCAAGGATGTCGGTGACTGTCCCGTGTCAGTGTGCAGAATCACGCCCGGTAGGACCACTCGCGTTGTGTCCCAGCAAGATGGTAGCAAGGAAGATATCAGTGATGGTTGGGCAGGCAGATTCTCAGCACATCGAGAACTCCCTGCGTTCTGGACTGGCATAACCATTTTTAGGTTATAAGGGGGGCTCAGTCCTCACGAGGGTAATATCCCAGTCAGCTCAGGAGCAGCCGTTACCGTGTCAACCGCTTCCAGCACAACACTTGCTGAGACCACGAGGGAAAAGCCGTCCGTTTTCGGTAACCCTTGCCAGCTTCAGGGGGGCCAACGCCCTCCAATCACCGTTGGCAATAAGCGTGCTCGCAAGCGCCTAGCGCATGATGCTGTTGGCCCGATGTTTGAGTTTGCTTGTTCACCCAATTCCTCAATGGGTAATGTGTTCAAGGATCTCAACATCCCACATGTCCGATTAGCAAAGGAGTACATTGACTTAGAGTCAGCCGTTGCGGATGAGCAGCTCGCGTACCAAATCTCGCAGTGCGTCCAACCCAACTTGTGGGCAGCCATTCCGTGTGTCTCAGGATCGCCCTGGCAGAGGCTGAACCTCCACAGGTTGGGTAAGCCGTTTAAGAAAAAGTTGGGAGAAAAAGTAAAACAGTCCAAAGTGATGTTTTCAAAATTTGCATTGCACGCCGAGCATGTTTTGAAGGCCGGCGGATCAGTCACCTTCGAGTGGCCACGTGACTGCGAGGGCTGGCAAAGGCCAGATGTAGCCGAGTTCTTCGAACGCCACAAGGACGTGTTCCACGGTGTTTCTTTCCACGGCTGTGCTGTCGGCTTGACGGATGAAAATGGTTCACCCAGCAAGAAGCCTTGGCACATCAAAACTACATCAAAGGCCCTTGCCGAAGCATTCGCAGATCGCCAGTGTCCGCATACAAAGTCGGAAAAACATACTCCAGCGGCAGGGAGCCGAACCTCCCGCACTGCGTTCTACCCTGAACAAATGTGTGGTTTGATCGCCAAAGCGTTGTATCCCAAAGTGTGTAGGACTCCGGTTCAAGCAATGCCCGTTGTTCCAGTCACTCAGCAAACGGAGCATCGTGTTAAGGGGCAATCCCTAAAGCACGAATCTCCTCTTTCCGGAGCGGATGACTTCACCCTCCTCGTTGAATCAGACTCTAAGACAAAAGAGATCGTCGAGGAACTCCTGGACGTCCAAGGTCTACTCGCTAGTGCTGTCGGCATGCCCGCCAAGGCTGTCGAAACAGAAGCGCATGCAATGGTCACCAAACTCCTGTCCCGTGCCGAGATGTTTGCATCTCCTGAAGCATTAGAGGCAATCAAGCAGGAGGCGACCGGACTCCAAGACGTAGGAGTATGGGATAGTTCAACTGTCCGGGAGAAGGCTGAGGTCGCAGCTCAAGCGCGACAGTCTGGGATCAAGGTGCACTTTGGTCAGCTCATGACGATCGCCAGCATCAAGTTCTATGAACTCGCGAAGCACCTCCAAAAGGTAAAGGGGCGCATCGTGTTCAGGGGAGACTGTGCAAAAGAGGAAGCCGGTGCACCCGCGGTGTACCAGGAACTGGGGGCCAACCCCACCTCGGTACAAGGCCCAAACGCCTGTCTGGCGTATGGGTGTATCCCAGTACACACGGTCACCACCGCTGACGCGGTAAAAGCCTATGTCCAGGCGTTCCTTAGCTCACAGTTTCAGACGTGGATTGAACTCCCGCCCGAGCTGCGGTGAAACCCGTGGTCTTGTTGATTCGTGCCCTATATGGTCACCCTGACGCAGGAGGTTTGTGGGAGGCACACCTTAAGAAACTGCTTCAGGGGAAGAAATCCCAGAGTTTCCTGGAAACTTTTTCTTTAAAGGGGTAGGCCTTATGCTCTCGACTTACGTCGATGACTTGACCCTTTCGGGTCCCGCAGATGCACATGAAGCCTTTTGGGAAAAGCTTACAAAATTGATAAATGTAGAGCCTCCCGAGCCGATCTTTCGGGTGCTCGGGCGTAATCATGTCTTTATAGATGGCCCCGCAGAACCTCAAGAGCATGATCTGAATGCAGCTGTAAGCGTATTAAAGGGTGCCGTTGCCTTTGACATGAATGACTATGCCCGTCAAACTGTAGAACTGTTTTGTTCTATAACCGGCACTCAGCCCGAGAAGCTCCGGAAGGTGACTACTCCGTTCTGTCCAGACGGATCACTTCCTCCAGAAGATGATCAGTCAGCTGGTGAGCTAGCCCCAAACGCGTGCAAACTCCTCATGAAGGCCTTATGGCTGGGACGACTAGCGCGTCCTGACATCATCAAGCCCATAGGTGACCTAGCAACCGCCGTGCAGAAGTGGTCTCGCAACCATGATAGGCAACTCGCCCGTCTTATCGCGTACATCCACTCGACTACGCACTACCGGTTGGTAGGAGTCATAAAGGACAACCCGCAAGATCTTCACCTCGCCCTGTATGCGGATGCCGACTATGCTGGAGAAAGGGATGCGAAGTCCACGTCCGGTGGCTTCCTGGTCCTCAAAGGACCGAACACCCATTTTCCTTTAGCGTGGTTGAGCAAAAGACAGACATCAGTGTCGAGATCCACCACCGAAGCCGAGGTCGTTTCGCTCACATTCTCTTTGTATCAAGAGGGTCTTCCCTCTTTAACCTTATGGGAACGTCTGCTTGGACGCCCGGTTGAGCTGGTACTGCACGAAGACAACCAAGCCACTATCCTCGTTGCCAAGAAAGGTTACTCCCCAAAAATGCGGCACATACAGCGCACTCACAAAGTGAACTTGTCCGCACTTGCTGAGCAACTTGAACCCGGCACGGGTGTAGTGATCAAGTATGTAGCTACAGACCTCCAGGCAGCTGATATCTTTACGAAGGCACTGCAGCCCTTGAAGTGGGACCACGCACTAAAGCTTTTAGGCATCCGAACCAATTTGCCTGAAAAGCTGAGAGATGTCCGGCCTGAGATGTCCAAGCAATAACAAAAGTGCAAAATCATAGGTAAGCCCTCCTTATGGTCTGGTAAAGGACCTTGCATCACATAGGTCGCAGCTCAAGCGCGACGTACAATACAACAAGTTTCTTAGTGGACACGGGGAGGGGGGAGTTGAATGATCACGACCCCTTGACCCCCAAAGAGGCACCCCAGAATGGTGTGCATGTATGTGATGTTGGAGGCCCCTTTTGCTTTGCACAGACTTGTCGAATGGCAATGACCATTTGGCTCAAGATGCCCAGAAGGTCAAGTCCAGGGTTTGCGCTCGCCTGCCGGACTGGGGTTAATAAGGGTCCCGGTTTCTGGTTCGCGTTGTTTCTTTCCCTTTTGAGTTTCATAGGGGGTACCGGATTGTGCCCATGGCCATGTGTCTCTCTGTTGGGGGTTTCATGGGTGCCCTTGTCAGCTTGGCGGGAAGGCGATCGAACATAATGTGTAGAGCGAATTGGCCGAGTTGCCTCGGACAACTTTTGGGAAGTGCAGCGCGAGAGCTGCCGTGTGTGTTCAGCTCAACCCTCCCAGGTCATCCGGGAGTTCTCTGCAGGCGCCGTTGAGAGCTGCCTCAGGCTGGGGTTGGTTTGGCAGAGGGCTATTTATTTTGGGATTTGTTTAATGTTTTTCTTTAGGACTTGTTTCCTGGATTTTGCCTTATCTGGCTTCTTAGCTTCTTGGCTTTTTGCCTTTGTCTTCTTGGAGTCTGGGCTGTTGGGCTTTTTGGCTTTTTGGCTTTTTGGCTTTTTGGCTTTTTGGCTTTTTGGCTTTTGGCTTTTTGGCTATTGGCTCGTGGCTTTTTGGTTTCTTAGCTTTTGGCTTTTTGGCTTTATTGCTTTTTGGCTTTTTGGCTTTTGGCTGTTTTGCTTTTTCTTTTTGTGGCCTTTGTGGCTTTGGCTTTCCGCATCCTCAGCATCACCAGCAACACCCCAGCATCACCGCCTGTTGGCTTTTTGGTTGGTGGCTTCCAACCCCCCCCCCCCCCCGCTTCTTTGTAGGCAACGAACCCCAATGAATCCAACCCCCCCCAAACTCACGTTTTGGACCAAAACCACCCTAAAACAACTCTAAACCACCACTAAAACTAGAGCCAACCGTAAAACCAAACCCTAAAAGCCAACCCTAAAGAATCCTTAAAGTAACCTTAAACCGGCAAGGCTCCCTAAAGAAAACCCTAAACAAACCCATCTGAACCAGCAAGAGACTATCCCTCAACCAACCCTAAATCTACCCTAAACCAAACCTAACTCCCAAACACCCTAAGCCAATCCCGAAACCCACCCCAACCCCACCCAAACCAACCCTAAGTCCGCACTAAGTTTGTATTCGTGCTGGTTCAGAGTGGGTTTGTATTATACGATCCGCACTAAACCAGCACAAAGCCATTGCCAATAAGCAAGCCCTATAGCTCCCTAAAGCAACCCCAAAACCAATCCCGAACCCACCGTACACTAGCACTAAACCCAAACTAAACCCGCTCTAAACCCACCATTAGCAAACCGAAAGCGCACACAACACCAACCGCGCCCTACCCCCCCAACCAAACCAAACCAACACTAAACCATCCCACCTAAACACAAGCACAGCCTAAACCAACTCTAATCTCGCCCTAAGCCAGCCCTACACCCCTGAACCAACCCCAAGAAGCCCACCGTAAACCAGCACTAAACCATCCCAGTACATAAAGCGCAGCCACCCCCAAACTTGCCCTAAACAAGCCTGGAACCCACCATGAACCAACCCTAGCCAACCTAAACCCGCCCGAAACCCAGCCCAACAAATCCAACTCGTAATGCTGAGGATGTTGAAAAGGATGCTGCCGAGTAAAAACGATTCCGGGGATGTTGACAGCGCTGGTGCAAAACAAGTCAAACAACAGCAGAACCAAGGGAGATCGCACCTGCCAGTTCCAGACAAAAGATCCAGAAAAAACAAACAAACACGGGAAACAATCCCAAAACAAATCGGGACCCATTGGCAAGTGGTCTGGGTCTGCCTGAAAGAGTTGGGTGAGGCATTCCAGCTCGCATGTAGCTGGCGCCTCAGGTTCCTGTACTCGGGCCGGCTGGAGGCTCATGGGGAGATGTTGGTGGAGGTGTGCGTGCTGGCGGACAAGTACAGCCTCTCAGAGTTGCAGAGGGTCGCATGTAGGCAAGGCCTGAGCCTGCGAGCTCCAACCAAATTTCAGATCAGAGTACGACTCAACTTGCTCCCGTTCTTTTCCTGGATCCCAGCACGATTTCTTCTAAAAGCCTTCGCGCCCGTTTCGGTGGATCGTGGTGCACCCGTTTTGGCCTCCCCGGCGGGAAATGCAGGCAACTGAACCAAGAGATGACGGCTGTGGATGCCTGCCGCTTGTGTCAGCTGCTGGGACGCAATGGTCAAGCCTGATTCCAGATGGTGTGTGAAGGGTGTCCTTTGTGTTCAGATTGCCCCCACACTGGCATGAGTCGCAATGTGAGTTGTGATTGATGTCCCCCGCGAACACCCCAGGAACCTTTTTGGGGTAACGAGTTTTGTCATTCACGGTAGCTTTTCTCGTGGCCCTTTGGATACCGTGGCCAACCTTAAGCACGACCTACCCAAGCGGTGGGCTTTCGCGCGGCGAGGTTCGCCACCCAGTGCGGCTCGGCGCAGGCCAAGCAAGTCGCCATGGATTTGATCATGCGTGAGCCACAGGACCCAGCGCGTGAATCGCTGCTCTTGTTGCCTGTGGCTAAAGTAGCATGGGGAGCATGCGTGGTGAACGAAGCCAGCTGTGTAATCTTGAGTCGTGGCACGGGCCTTGTCATTTGCTGAACATTCTCGCTCATTTGTGTTGGTCTAATATGGTTTACAATTCGCAAAGTTACCCCCTAAGTGATAGTTTGATACACTATCACTTAGGGGGTAGTTGTGGCATGATAGAACCAATCATTTGGGAAACATCCCCAGCAGCTGTCTTTGTTTGTCAAAGTCATGACCCGCTCTATCCTGGCTTGATGCCACGCTTTGATCCGTAACCTCAAACCTCCAGCGGCCTTGGGGGAAAAAAGGGCCACACATGGTCCAAAATACAGTTCTCACTTTTTGCCGAAGAGGAACTGTCAAGGAGCCCCCGCCTTTTTCTGAGGTCTTCTAAAACCCGGCCATCTTCCGCCAAGGTTATACATATATATATATATATATTTAAATAGGCACATTTGTATGCATATATGTATATATATATATATATTGTTATTTGATATCTTTCTCTTTTTTTGGTGTATATATAAACAAGAATCAACATAAATTCGGCGCGGCGCTTCCGGCGCTTTGCCGCGCCTGGGTTGGGTCTCGGTCGGATCGGTCGCAAGGAGGCGCTGCCTTTCGCCCACCTGCTGGGCCCGCAGCTCCTGGATGAGATCCTGGACAGCGGGGCCCTGTGCATCGAGCCCGGGGAGCTGCTGCCGCTGATCCTGCGACCCGGTGTCGATTTGGTGTCGATTTGGGTTGGGTGGTGGTGTATTTTTTTTGGGGTGGGGTGTCGATGTGGTGTGGTGGACTTGCGGGTTGGGTAGTGGTGTTCTTTTGGGGGGTGGTTTTGGGTGCTGGTTCTTTGCGGGGAACTTGTAGTCAGTTTGCCAAGGCCAAGTGAGTCAGTGATTGAAATTTTGTGTTGAGCCCCCAGCAGCAACCTGACCCTCTTCATGCAAGATAAATGTGCGCAGTGATTTCTGCAACATTCAGGTCTCAAACATTTGCGCAGTTGTGATCTGGAGGCTCATGCATGTCCTAGCCCTTCAAAGGGAAATGCATGAAGTTGTCAACTTGACTTTATCTCCCCATGTGTCAAGTCACATCTTCCCCTGTCTCCACACCCTCACCAGACAGGCGGGCCTTCCACTCCCAAAATATCGGTTCGAGGACGTGGGGTTTGCCTGGGGAGCACTGCTTGGACGTGAAGGCCATCCTGGAGAAGACCTACGTGCAGCGAGAGGTGGCTGCATTGGAGGACGCGGGCGAGGGCGGAACTCTGCCTGTTTATCGGATTTCTGCCTGACAGGTATGAACAGTGAAAGTGCACTTTGTGTTCAAAGCGATTCCGCGTCCGCAGCGAAGCGATTTTGTTGGTTCACCATGCAAAGAGATGAGCACAGAGGCTAGTTCTGTGCAATGGCAAGAGGAGCAGGGCCCGTTGTCAAGGGAGCCGTGCCTCAACCCATTGGTTGTGCAAGGACAACAAGGACAAAGCCGAAGGACATGCTCCAAACAATGGGCTGAAGGGTGAAGTCGAGTCAACTAGCATGGGTGAGGGCAACTGAGACTTGCAAAGGCAAGGTTGGAGGGGGAAGGCACCATAGTCTGCATAGACAAGAGGTACACCCGCTCCATCTCTTAGTATCTTTGTCTGTTCCTCCATCCTTTGCCTGGGGTCATTATTTTGACGGTTCCTGGTTATCAAAGTGAGAAAAAGGGGGTTGCTTCCCTTTAACCCCGGGCAAACCCAGGAATTTGGTTTGAAAGCTGAGGTGCTGATAATTAACTGACAGCATGATGTCCATTTGGCCCCCTGCCGTGTGATGGCCTGCCTGCAGCCCCTCGTTCTGACTGAACTCAGGACTCCCAGTTCGCGCAGCTGCAGCCATTGGCATCGGAGGTGCAGTGCTGGGAGATCCTGCAGTCTTGCCGCCAGAAGTGCCACCCGGACGGATAACAAACCCGTTTGACGTGTCTCTGCGTTTTTTTCTTCCTTCCCTCTGTGTGTCCGAACGCTCCATGAAGTGTTTTTGGCAGAAGAAGGGGCCTGTCTGCGCAACTTAATGCTCGAGTTGTGATGCCTACACAGCGCTATTGTGCGTCGTGTGTCTTGCTCGGCGACTTGTGTTGCGCTGCTGGGCACGATGTTTGTTGTGGCTGCTTGCGCAGATCTGCCTCAACCGCACTGTGCCGTTTGCACAGCGCTTTAGGCAGCACTCGCGCTGCAACTTTTCTTCTAGTTTTCTTTGACCGAGACCAGCCTCAATGGCTTGGTGTGGGCAGGCATGATGAACATTGCGTGGGACCGGCTGGTCGATTGGTAGCATGAAGCCACCCATTTAGAAACTTGCCGACCGGACTCTTGTTAAAGAAGAATGACCTTGGGAGCGGTTCATTCCACTGCCGTTGTTTCTTTGAGGCAAACGTGGCGAGCATACAACTGATGCTCTGTACACGCTGTGGGAGCGCTATGAGACTGCATTCCCAGAGGAGAGCGGATGGGGGGTGGGTGGGGCCGCATGGGGCTTACCGCGAATGCGCGGCTAGGCGTGGAAGGCAGGCCACGCATGGGGCAACTCTACAGACTGGACAAAGCATGAACGGGAAACCGGTGCCCCCAAAAGGGAATGTTCAGGTTTTCGGCTTGCTGCGCAGGAAATGACCCCCACCGGGCGTTGGGAATCGGGATTCCCTTAAAGGCCATGGGGAAATGGATGGCATTTCTGGGGCTCCCTCCAGCGGCTCTTCGCCCTACGAGTGGTTTTTGGGGTCCGCAGGACCTTCCGGAGCGGCCGCCCTTCTTGGGCTATTGGGTGAACGTCATCCCCGGCACCCCGAGGTTCGGCTCCGGCGCTCCTCTGCCCATGTCCGACATGGGCATACGAGGCAGGGAGAGAGACGAGCCCGGGGTCCGGAATGGGTTTCCAACGAAATGGGAGGATTTCCGGGGTCCCGGAAATGTGGACCCAGGAAGAAACAAGCGCCCCATGAGTCGGGAGGTGACCCCTCCAAAAGTGGTCTGAATCCGCAAAAGGGGACGCCCCCCCATTGTTCAACCAGGGGTTTATGAATCCGGGGCTAACATGAAGTGGAAGCTGATGGCAACAGCAGACACTCTCGCGTGGGTCTCATTACGCCTTATGTTCTGGGGTTGACTCTGGTTTGGCTGGCTGGCCGAGCAGCCGAACTATTCTTCCATTCGAAGGGTTGTGGTTTCGTTTTTTGTGGCTTTGGGGTGGGCTAAGGCCGCATAGTTGCGCTTTTTTGGTAAGTTTGCGCCGGTTTGTCTTCTGGTCTAATCAGGCATTTGTGCCGGTGCCATCTCTTTTTCCAAAAGGACACCTAATGCTGACCCCATATGAATCAACCCAGTTTATTAACAGGGGGTGTCTTTCTTCAACAGTGGTCTGATTCCCCACATGTCACGCAGAAATGAACACCCCCCTATGAATAAACAGGTTGGTGGATGAATCTGGGGCCTCAGGCGCCAGCAACGCGCTCTTGTACCTCGAGCGCCTGGCGCGCAACGACGAGGCGAGCTTGAACCTGGCGGAGAACGACTGGCTGGCACCCCGGCCGGGGGGGTTTGGGGGGGTTGGGGAGTTGGGGGAGTTGGGGGAGTTGGGGGAGTTGGGGGGTTTGGGGGGTTGGGGGAGTTGGGGGAGTTGGGGGGGTTGGGGGGTTTGGGGGGTTTGGGGAGGGGGGTTTGGGGGTTGGGGGGAGTTGGGGGCTTGGTCCTTTGGTGGGAAGGCCATTTTAGTGGCGAGGCAGAGGCTTTGGACTTCTTTTGGCCGAGGGGCCGAGGGGAAAGACAACCACCCACGCCCAGTCCCAAAGCTTGGTTCCCAAAAAGGGGTGTCTCATGGGGCCTGTTTGGACGTGGTTGGAGTTTGTTCTGGTGGAGTTTGCCTCATGGAGTGTTCGAGAGAGATTGGCTCCCGATGTTTGTGTTTCATTTGAGTTGGTTGCTGAATTCATCGTAGATGATGAATTGTCGTGCCAGAAGATGCCAACCTCCATTGTGGTCTTGTCAGCTTTTCTGACAACCGGGGCCAGCTTTGGGTCCATTTCTCAGCCTTTCTCTCGTCACAGAAGTGAAGCACCAGGATATATGGCTGTGGTTGTCAAAACCGTTTTGGGATACCATTGTGGTTGGTAGGTGAATTCACCACCCACTTTGGGACCTATTTTAGTGGTTGGATTGGGGGGTTCACTGGGGCCCGGGATTTTTGGTTCTTGACCCATGCCGCGCGTGCGCGCGTGGCGCAAGGAGTGGATGCTGCCCAACTTCCAGCTGCATCTCGAGGGCGTGTCCTTCGGGGACAGCGCTCGGGTCTCCGCGCTGGAGAGGGCCGGGGAGCCCGGACGACCGGACGTCAGGGTGCAAATTTTCTTCCCCAGAAGTCGCGGGACTTCGTTTTTTTTTTTTTGCTTGGTTGGGGTCCCTTTGTTTTCCACTAGCCATGCAAAAAGTAGATTTTTTTTTGCTGGGGTCCTAATTCCAGCCAAGCTTTCTAATGTTGACCCAGGATGAATACACCCCCTCCCAGTATTGGGGGGGTGTTCCCTCCAACAGTGGCCTGCTTCCCCACTAAAAAGGGGACCCCCCCTAATGAATCAAGCAGGGGCTTATTAATCCGGGGTTAACATTAGTTGGTAGGACGCGATTCGTAGTGGCTTGGCACCTCATCTTGGGGATATCCTGGATCTGCTGAGATCCCCTGAAGCTGCATAAACGAAACACCACATTGAAAAGCGCAAGGTTGTTTCTTGAGACATTTGTCAAGACATCACTTTGTTTGGTTTTACTGCCGTCAGCGACGCGCTATGTTCACTACTTCTGGCGCCGGTTTTCGCCGGTGCGCTCATACTGCTGGCGCCCGTTTTGATCCTGGATACCCACCAATGAACAGCCGGAACCTGACGTTCGGGGCCGGGTCCCCTGCCCAAACCAGGACCCCCCCCCCCCTTCCACGTCAGGTTCTGGGTTTCTCCCCGCTTCTGTGATACCAGGGAATCCCTCTTTATGAACAAAATCGTCTTTGGGAAGCCCTTTCTGTTGCATCACAGGGGTCATTTTTGACTGCCCTGGTGGGAGGACGCATATGGCCCAAATCAGGACCCCCCTTCTGCCGTCAGGTTCTGGCTGTCACTGTGCTAATTGGCGGGAGGGGTGGATGGGAAGCCTTCCATGTCGGAGGTGGAGATGTTCGTCTCCATGAGCGGCACCTCCTGGGACCGTGTGCTGGACTCTCAGGCCTGGGTGCAGCGCCACGGGCCGATCTTGCAGGGCGAGGTGGGATTTGGGGGGATTTGGGGGGATTTGGGGATGTGAGGAGGCGACCGGAAACGCGTGGAGGGAAGAAGCTAGCTGGTGCTTGGAAGAGATTTAGCCAAGCTGGGGACATCCGATTTGCCTTAGAGGGAGCTACGGAGACGGGAGTTCTGGAAGCTCACGGAAAGGGCATGGGCTCATGGACCGCAATGAAGGCAATGACCATCCGTTACCAGCGACGACGACTTAACGCCACAGTCCCTGGACGCAACGGCAGAGAGAGAGAGAGAGAGAGAGAGAGAGAGCGAGTCCCTGGACTCAAACAAAAGCCATGCCCTCGAAGCATCACAGCACGCGGTTCATGGCTTTTATCTTCAGCAGAAAGGCCCACAATGATAGGATGAGCTTGCCATGCACAAAAGGGTGGCATGACTGGCAGTCTCAGCGGAAGCAGTTACAAAAGGGTGCGCCAGGTAACAAATGTGCTCACGGATCGGCTGGTTGCGCTCAGCCAGTTGCCCATTGGTCGATTTCTCAGCTCAGCAGAGCTCATGGTTGGTCAAAGTGTTTCTTGGGCCTTGCCTCAGAAAAAGGAGCCACACACCGGTCCCAAGAGAGGCTGTATGATTCGGCAGGTGGCAGAGGTATGCATTTTGTCCTGCCGGGGAAAAGTGTCCCTGCCAGGTGATCCCCTGCCGCAGCAACGGTCCGGTGAGGTGGTTCCGGCTTTGCATGCGGAAGGGCAGCCTGGAGGGGGAGTTCTGCCTCCAGGGGATCCTGCAGAGCATCGGCAAGCCGTCCGCGTAGCGCAAGCGGCACCGCGTCAGTGAGTCATTCACTTCGTGCTTGTGATCCTTGGGCCGTGTTGCCCATGTGAATCAATGCGGCGTTTGAAGCAAATCGCTGGTTTCACCGGACAGGTCACGGCATCGGCTAGCAAAAGGTCTGCTCAAATGGCAGCTTTTCTGAGGGTGAAGCTATGGACCTGAAAGCTATGGCGCAGCATTGGTGCCCAGTGTATGTTTTTCCCATCTGTTTTGCTGCGTGCATTTGCCGCAGTCGTATCTTGAGTTCGTGAAGTGTTGATGAGCAATGGCGGCGTCAGGTCAGTGCTATTGTTGCCATGGCGTGGGCACTGGATGGAACCCAGCCATCCAACTTTCGCAGGTCGATGACGGCAAGGACGAGCCTGGCAGCGATCGGGGAAGGCCCGAAGCAGAGGTTGTGGGAAGTTGCGATCGAACTTGTCGGGTCTGTAGAGATGTGCGACAGGCTTGGACTCACCCTGTTGCAGGCTGTCCGCCTTCATGCGCTCTCGACTTTCGTGCAGCTGGCCAATCCTTTCAGAGGCTCGCATGAACGGTGGTGGCAGCAAGCAGCTCGCCATGCGTTGTGGCGGTAGCTTGTGCACCACCTGGACAGTGAGGGTCAGGGTTAGGGTTAGAGTCAGGTGGAGAGCGAAGGGGAGAGTGAGGGTGAGCGTGAGTGTGCGAGTGAGCACAGGCGTGAGTGTGAGAGTGAGTGAGTGAGTGAGTGAGTGAGTGAGTGAGTGAGTGAGTGAGTGAGTGAGTGAGTGAGTGAGTGAGTGAGTGAGTGAGTGAGTGAGTGAGTGAGTGAGTGAGTGAGTGAGTGAGTGAGTGAGTGAGTGAGTGAGTGAGTGAGTGAGTGAGTGAGTGAGTGAGTGAGTGAGTGAGTGAGTGAGTGAGTGAGTGAGTGAGTGAGTGAGTGAGTGAGTGAGTGAGTGAGTGAGTGAGTGAGTGAGTGAGTGAGTGAGTGAGTGAGTGAGTGAGTGAGTGAGTGAGTGAGTGAGTGAGTGAGTGAGTGAGTGAGTGAGTGAGTGAGTGAGTGAGTGAGTGAGTGAGTGAGTGAGTGAGTGAGTGAGTGAGTGAGTGAGTGAGTGAGTGAGTGAGTGAGTGAGTGAGTGAGTGAGTGAGTGAGTGAGTGAGTGAGTGAGTGAGTGAGAGAGTGAGTGAGTGAGTGAGTGAGTGAGTGAGTGAGTGAGTGAGTGAGTGAGTGAGTGAGTGAGTGAGTGAGTGAGTGAGTGAGTGAGTGAGTGAGTGAGTGAGTGAGTGAGTGAGTGAGTGAGTGAGTGAGTGAGTGAGTGAGTGAGTGAGTTGAGTGAGTGAGTGAGTCAGTGAGGGAGGGAGTGAGTGAGCGAGCGAGCGAGCGAGGGAGTGAGTTGAGTGAGTTGAGTGAGTTGAGTGAGTTGAGTGAGTTGAGTGAGTTGAGTGAGTTGAGTGAGTGAGTGAGTGAGTGAGTGAGTGAGTGAGTGAGTGAGTGAGTGAGTGAGTGAGTGAGTGAGTGAGTGAGTGAGTGAGTGAGTGAGTGAGTGGAGTGAGTGAGTGAGTGAGTGAGTGAGTGAGTGAGTGAGTGAGTGAGTGAGTGAGTGAGTGAGTGAGTGAGTGAGTGAGTGAGTGAGTGAGTGAGTGAGTGAGTGAGTGAGTGAGTGAGTGAGTGAGTGAGTGAGTGAGTTGAGTGAGTTGAGTGAGTGAGTGAGTGAGTGAGTGAGTGAGTGAGTGAGTGAGTGAGTGAGTGAGTGAGTGAGTTGAGTGAGTTGAGTGAGTTGAGTGAGTTGAGTGAGTGAGTGAGTTGAGTGAATG